AATGTGGTATATGCTGTCCAGTGCAGCGAGGAATGCTCGGACCTGTACATTGGGGAAAACTAAACAACCGCTTCACAAGCGCATGGCTCAACACAGGAGAGCCACTTCCTCAGGTCAGGACTCAGTTGTCCACCTTTACTTAAAGGACACGGGTCACTCTTTTGAGGGCAGCAATGTACAGGTGTTGGCTCGAGAAGACAGATGGTTTGAAAGAGGAGTTAAAGAAGCCATCTTTACCAGACTGGAGAAACCTTCTCTGAACAGAGGGGGTGGACTCAGGCACAATTTCTTACAATGCAGTTCTCAGCTCTCTCCCCAGATGGGTTTCTACGACCCATTCTTTCCAACTCCTCCCAGTCATTGTCTGTTACTTCTCCAGTAAGATAAATATCTGCTCCTCACACTAGCAATTTTAGAACTGAAGAAGCTTCTTGGATAAGAGGCGAAACGTCTTCTCAATTCGACACAGTCCAGTTGCCTGTTTTTGGGGTCTTCAAGAAGAAGTTTAATCATAAAATCGGGAAACAGTGGGAAACTCTGTGGTTATTAAAAAATATACATATATAATATTAACGAAATAACTTAAGATATAATACTGTGAACATTGCTGCACAATAAAAACAGGAAGTAGTGGATCAAGGATGTTGTAAAGGTACATCTGAACTGGTTCCTTTTAGGATAAAGGTACAAATAGTTTATGTGTGAAAACAGATCACATGTACAAAGTCTGGCAGCCCTATCTGGACTGTCTCAGACCGGATCTCACTGTCATTATCATTAGAGGGCTCTCCAGACTCTGAAATGTAATTTATGACCTATTTGTGCGGTGGATGAGTTCCTGTGACCATCTGTGCTAATGTCATCTGAGCTGTCGTTTGGTCATTTTGACATTCTGTGTTTTTCTCATAACCAATAAGAAAATTCAACAGAAACAGATTTGCAAGTTTATACAGACTTTAGAGGAAAGTGAAGTCTACGTGTTTTAACTGCAATTAAAGGGAAGAGTGTGAAGAGAACCCAAAGCTGTGAATGACACATTTTTTTACTACTTCATGGTTGAATCAGTCCTCACCTTTGCTATCATCACCTGTTTTGGTCCTGTTCCTCAGGTGGACAAAAAGAGGTTTGATCACACAGATAATATCTCTGGAGAAACCACTGGCAGCAGATTGTCTAATATATCTCCTCACATCTAAAGCTAAGGACATCATTTGGTGTCCAAATTGTCCTCTGCATGCAGGATTTTGTGGACAAATGTGGTGCTCAAGTATTTAAAAACCAGGACATCAAAGTATTTTGAGAATCGCACCATTTGAGTCATAGCAACAAAAGAACACGTTGTTTTTGTCCTTCTCTTATTCTACAACAAAAGGAGATCATTGGACTCAGCTGGAAACCACAATTTAGTAATGTCAGTTTGAACCTCATCTACTCACCTGTGATAAAAAAAAAGTACAGCTCATTTGTTAGACTTGTTTGAATATTTTTTATTTATTTATTTATTTATTTAAATATATGTTAATGTAGTAGCAAATGAAGAAGGTGCACTTTCAATTCAATTTTTGAAAAGAGAAGAGTAAGACTTTATTTTATTTTATTTTTTCGGTTTGACTGACAGCCCCACTGTGCCATCATATCATTTGAGTAAACTGTAGCTACAGTAAAGCTTTTTCTTGAACCTGTACATCATGTAAATCTAAGTTGACTCAGTTTCCTCCTGCTTCACTTCAGACAACATTAACTGCACCGTTGTGACAAACAGGACCGACAGCTGAAGCAGGGTTTTGACAGCCAATTAAATGCTGCTAGTTGATAGTGCTGTAATGCAGGTGGATGTACAGGACAGCACTGCATTTTGATGATTGAGCGGAGAGCTCTTGTTTTATTTATTCCAAGGTCACCCAGGGTTCAGGGAATATCCCTCCCTCCAGAAACATCGCTGGCACTAACGTGCCCTCCAAGGTTCCTGGGCTTGATTCATTTATGCCATTAATACAATCTGGCTGCTGGCACCGGGACGAGCTGATGGGGGTAAAGCACTCACTCTAACCCCCCACGCACAAAACACACACACACACACACACACACACACACACACATATACACACAATTTTTCCAGTCAATTGGCTGCTGCGTCTCCAGAAAGGCTTCCTATTAAATAAAGTGGCATCCAAGAGCTTTAATGCAGCACCTCTTTAGAGTGAAAGAAGAAGAAGAAGAGAGAGAGCTGACGTTGAGGAAGAGAGGGCAAACGAACGACTGAAGATACAGCGTAAGAGAGAGAAAGAAAGAGAGAGAGGGAGAAACGGAGCGGGAGATGAGGAGGTAGAGGATGTTTTGCTTCTTCGCTCAGCTGTAGGTAAAGATTTGTGTTTGAAAGAGAGTATATCTTTTCAACTCCCACTCCCTGACTCTCAGTGTACCTCCGCATTCATGTGAAGACTCCTTTACTGCTGTAATGCTAAGACATGAAACACTCAGCAAACATTTCAGCTTCAAACCCTCTCATGTACAGTACTTTTCTATGTGCTAACTCTCTGTGATTCATTCACACTAACACCTGTGTGCAGGAAGGATTGAGAGAACTACACAGTATGTGTTCATTTAATTCAAAGAGTGGAGCAAGTCAGTCATCACACATGCTAAACTTTCTGCTGAAGGTCCGGAAGTGTCCTGGATGTGACCTTGATCATGCGGGAGAAACATTCTCAGGGGTCCTGACACCCTGTGCTGTGTCATATCAGGTGATAATAGTGCTTAATCCACACAGTCGGACTTCAGCATCAAACATACAAAAGAATATTAATATGTCCCTTTAAAGGTGGGGTAGGCAGGATCTGAGGAAGTGCCAGTTTTTGGGAGAAATCTTGAATGTAAACACTACCCCTCACAACCAGTTTTCCCCTCAGCTCCTCCTCTCCCCTAACTCTGCTCCAGCAAGCCCTGCCCACCTCGCTCCATCCTCGCTCAAATTGTTTCAATTAAATTCAGATATAATGCAGATCAGTGGCGGCTGCTGGTCTTTCAAGGAGGGGAAGCTCATTTTTCTGGCCTACATCATAATTATGTTTGTTTATTTGTATGTGACAGAACAGAGTCACAGTAACAGAACACAACGGCAGTCGTTTTTAACAAAGACAAAAGTCGCTGAGGATCGGTAAAGTCTCCGGAGCAGTTAAGAACAACAGAATGAATAACTTGGAAAATGCTCTGGTAGATGTTTTATTCCTCAAGATCGCTGATTCGCCTGTTTAGCTGTCAATCAAACGATTTCGCCTCAGACAGCTCATTCAATCATGGATGCAGAAGCTCGGAGTCCGGGAGAAAGTCGGGACCGCCCTCTCGCCATAGAACTCCAGTGAAGCTGAGCGTCCGATAGGCGGGACAAAGCCCAGCATTTATCCAATGAGCATCTAGTTTCGCTGCTGGGACAACCCACTTTGAGCTTCCACATTGAAGTCAGCAGAAGCCCAGCGTCCGGCTGTTTAAAGTGCTGAGGTGCTGCGAGGATGAATGACAACGAAGTTGTTCAGAATCAGCTTCTTATCACAGTGTGATAAGAAGCTGATTCTGAACAAAAGATGAAGGCTTTCTAGCGCATATTTAGTTAATGAAATGTACACACAGCCGTACGTATTTCACCACTTTTTCTTTTTTTTGGGGGGTGACATTTTAAGGAAAGCCGAGCTTCCCTTGCAGTCTTAGAGCAATCGTCACTGATGCAGATATATACTTCAGATAATTACAAATGGGGCTCAGTCGACGTGAAAGTAAAAATCATTGGTGCTACTGTCGATGCCAACAGACTACCAACAAACACAATGTTTGCAGGACTTCTACAACTAGGATAAAGTGACATACTCCAGGATCCAAGGTAAACAGTTTGGCAGCACTACAACACACAGCAGGTCCTGTTTGACAAGAGACACTTCTGTTACAGACTCATGGCTTACTTTGTTAGGCAGTTTACCTGTCCAGCAGAAAGGTTACAGGATCCAGAAGATCCAGAAACATTCCCCATCCTTTATATTGATGTTGACCCGGCTTTATAGCTCTTGTCCAGGTGGTCTACCTCCTTTCTAAGCGCCCGTTATTCCACTAGAGTCTCCAGTATTTAGTTTGTTTTCTTGCTTGTGTTGGCAGTCGTGGCCAAAGGAGGATTCAGACAATTTCCGTACTTTCTGGTTGGTTTCTACTGTCCGATATTGTAGCATGCTCACTTTGTTTGGGCTCATGAACATTATTGGAGGACATGGAGCGTTCCTCACAACACAAGGGAGCAGCGTCTGCCTCACAACCAATCAGCACTAAGGAGCAGCGTCAACCTCACAACCAATTAGGTCGGTGAGACAGTCAGAAAGAGCGGGCCACTTAAAAAATTTAAAATGTTGACTGGACAGACAGAACAAAACACAGCAATATAGTTATATTACCAAATGCCATCAATAACTAATAGCTATTGACTGAAAATTAAAGCTTTTTTGTATATACACCACAAAAAATGCTTCTTTAATGTACCACATCTAAAATAGAAAACACATAAGAACTCCTATTGTCTTTCAATATTTCACTGCTGGAAAAGTTGCAAATGCATCTTGAATAAACCCCTTTCCTGACCCTTGTTTGATATGTCAGACTGCACAGAAAGAATCGGCCTACTGAAAGTGCCCTGACAGAGTATTTCTAAAACATGTTACTTTCCCTCAGGTGTAGGATCTGAATCTGCCCTCTGCCATCACTCTTTCAAGAAACAATGTTCTACTTTCTCTGTGAAATCATTGCTGTTTTCAGAGGTGCTATTTTCTACCAAAGAAACACGCTGTTTTCAGAGGTGCTATTTTCTACCAAAGAAACACTCGACCCAAAACAGAGTTTGGAGAATTTCTCTTTGTACTTCTGGGCACAGATATACCCTGACTGTACTTTCAGAGGCGCCAAGGCTCTTGAGGTGAGAGAACCAGATTTGAGCTGGCAGTCCTAACCTGACCTCTGCACTCGTGGAGGTGGCCTGTATTCTCAGTGTGATACAGGCTGGCCTGTAGGCCTGCAGCCAGACTGCTCACTGTGAGAGTGGAGATGACACATCACAGGAACAGTCCTCCTTTCCTGCAGCACCTCTCTTTGTTTCCCCCTCTTCTTTGTCCTTATTCCTCCTCTGATGTTGTTATACTTTGTTTTTCTCCCCTCATGTTTGCCATCTTGTGATTCAGCCTCTCTTAATCTTGAAGAAAAGAGGTGTGCAACCCTAAAAGTTTTTTTTTGTTTTGTGTGTGTGTGTGTGTGTGTGTGTGTGTGTGTGTGTGTGTGTGTGTGTGTGTGTGTGTGTGTGTGTGTGTGTGTGTGTGTGTGTGTGTGTGTTAACAAATCAGAGCCTTCGGTCTACCTGCATTAGGAGCAGGTCTCACATGCAGAAAATGTAAAGAATAAAAGACTTTCAAAGCTTTACTAGGAAGGTATGAGATATGAAATACAGCACAACTTCCAAAATTTTTATATGAATAATCTTTTTCTTTTGAATCATCTCTCTCTATCAGTCTCTCCTCTGTTTTCTGTCAGAAACTTTATACTTCCTCCAGGTAGCAACGCATCTTTGCGCACAACCACCACATCCACGGATGCTAATTCACCTGCCATTACACAGAGCGTGGACTCAAGACCTGACACTAAGGAGTGCATCAGGTGGAAAAATAACAGCGACACTGTTGTTGTACACCAAAACACTTTATGCCAGGAGCATGATAAGACCAAACTGCTATACACATTCCTATCCTCAGCACAGCAGGTGAACCACAACTCATCCAGCGCAGCAGAATAGATAAAAATATTTTTTTTCTGACCTTATTTATAGCCATCCTGACACTTTACAAATAAAGTCCAGCTTCATTCCAGGATCTCAGAAACGGTGCTGGATCAAATGTGTCTGCTATAAAACTAAAAAGCAAAGGATGTCAGGTCCTTCAAAATGTCCTTAATTTAAGATGTTATAAATTTAGAGATTAATAAGTTACTACAATAGTTGTGCTCAGAACTCTGGTTGTTAGGTGACTTTGCACATTTTCTAGTGGGTATACGGCATATACCTGCAAATTACAGATACTACACCGCTGTGCACACAGAAACATATATAAACACACACACTTACGCAAAGGCTGAATCGCCCCTATTGTGTGAGGTAGAGAGATCTTTAGTTTCTTTTTGTTACAGACCCCAGAAAGAGTCCTGCAAACAGATAAGGATCCTGTGTAAAACAGGAAAAAAAATGAGACAGGCGACGGTGCTTCACTGCAGCTTCGCTCCGTTGAACGATAAAGCAGCGTAAGAGTCCGTTAGCAAGAGTGTCCCAGGTGAGAAGCACAGTGCTGCACTGCCCCCTACTGGTAGGGTGAAAAGATTAAGTTATATTAAACTCTGAAGTTCTTACCAAGACATTCACTTGCCTTTATGGCTCATATTCTACTCATCTTCTAATGTAAATAGTCTCTTGAACATCATACAACCTACACAATAACACGTAAAAAATGTGACAACATATTTTCTGTGTGTCACATTTGCACAGAAACTGCCCTTAACTTTGATGGTCTTTACATTCTTGTCTCTCATAAGCTAATAATAATGATGTATGTCCATCTCTTGGATATAGAGTCCAACTTGTCTGCTGCTGCAGTCATCTTCTCCTCTGTAGTTTTCCAGCACTAATAGGATCTAAACATTCGCATGGATTTTTCTCGCTGTGTCGGCTAATCTATATAAAAACAACACAACACTTAATTTCGAGTAAAAATGCGTTGTCGCACATGTTACTGAGATTTGTACAGAGTAAAATATTACTGTTTATTAATTTATTTTTTTGTAGTTCCCTACCAAGGGGGAGAAAATTTTATATTCTGTGTAATAAATTTCTAAAGTTTGTCCACAGCGCCATAGGGATTGCTTGAGGAGGCGGGATTTATGACCTATACTGCAGCCTGTCATCAGAGGGTGCTGTTCTCAGAGTGGCTTCACCCAGCGAGGAGGCAGACGGTGTCCATTTTATATACAGCCTATGCTTGTAACATGTTAAAGTGCCTATTTTGAAAAATCATGATTATTGAAACGAAATTAAGAACTATTAAAAAAAAAAAAAACATCAAATGATCACTAACGTTATTTTATCAGTCGTTTTAAATCCTTTTTTATTTCCAAACTGGAAACTATCTGGGATCAAACAAAGTACAAAAACGGGGGTGACCTGAGATCATTGCTTGATAAAGAGACAAACAGCGATTATGCTTTGGTCTTGTAACTGACCAACTGTCTAAGTGCCTTTGAGCAGGTAAGTAAACCCCTGACCTCCCTTACAGAAAAGGGAAAGAGAAGGAGAATGCTCCTTCATATTTGCCTGTTTCGCTCATCATGAATGCTATTTTCTGGCTGATGATTCATATCAAACATTCATATTGTTAGAGAATGGAAACAGTGGAGCGTTTCTAATATGACTGCTGCAGATAAATGTTTTTTCTCTATTTGTCTCAGGCTGATAAGAGTGGGGCTGACGTAAAGGGCTGAGATTTGAATTTCCAGATCTGCTACTGTACGTGTCCTTTCTCTTTTTTATCCTCCAACATTTACATGCAAACCTTAATGTGTGTGTATGTGTGCGTGCATGTGTGCAACTGTGTATGTGTGTGTGTGGCCTCCTGATTTACCTCTGCACTCCTCTGCACTATGAAGCAGATAGGTTTGGGAGTGTGCAGGAAGTTATTTGTTTCTTTGCCTGCCGTAAGCCTTCTCTTCCCAGTGTGTCTAACAGAAACTCTTTTGGCAGCATCCTTCCTCTCCCCCTCTACCTCTCCAGCTTTCATCCACCCTTCTTTCCTCCTTCCAAGTGTCTTTCCTCAGCACTTTTTTCTTACCCTACCTTTTCCTTGTCCTTTTCTAACCCATCTTTCCGGATCCTTAGAGACAGTAATAGTAGAAACACAGGATGGAAACGCTGAAAACAGCCCTTCCCTCGCTACCTCTACTTATCTTCACAGCTTGTGCGCAGTATTGTTGTTTATTTTTATTCTATCTCTTTTTCACGTCTCTCCTGTGGTGTAATTGGCCAGGAAAAAGCGGGAAAATATTTCCCAAAGCACTTTTCTTCCTGGCCTTAACGATCCCTCCTCGCCATGTTTTTTCCTGGCTCTTTCTTTTGGTGCTTTATTTTCTACATCTTCCCACCTTTTCTCCACCACTTAGAGTCTTACATTCGGGTACACTCAGCGCAAGTATCATTATTTTTTTTCCACCTGAAGCACAAGTCATTTTTATGCCTAGGGCCAATGTTGTGTAAATAACAGTTGAATTTGTACCCAGGGGTGTGTTAGAGATGTGGAAACCATGAGAACAACAAGAACCTGGTAATAAATCTGGAGCCCATGGTGCAGGGCGTCCTCTTAGAGATCTCATTGGCAAAACAGTAAGATGGCTAAAGAGCTTCAATCCTGTGCTGTTTTCACAAAGACAAACACCTGTGCTCTCAGCAGTGTTTCCTAATAGAGGCTGAATGATTATGGCACTGTCGGACTGTCATGTAAATGTACATCAGAATTTAGCGAGGTATTGTACTATGATTTGACGCTATATTACTGTAATAAAAAAATGCATTCTAGGGATCACACTTTTCCACCAACTCTGATGGTGAAACGGTTTTTATTACAGTAATTTACTGCTTACAGCCCAGAATCACAGGAAATATTTGTAATGTTATATGAATATGGAACCACAGAGTAGGAAACAGGCATGGCAGCAGCAGCGGCTGTATCTTCAAGATTATCTGACAAATAACAACTTTACTTTCATTCTTTATTTCTTCCAAAACCATTGCCAACTAAAGTTACCTTGTGTTTTATTATAATTCCTGTTTTGTTTTGTTTATTTTTTTTCCTCCTGTACCAACTTGATATCTGTATTATTTGTTTCTGAGCTCTGTAAGACCTCAGGTACAATGGATAACATTATTTTGTTCTTCATAGTGTATTACCACATTTGACAGCCAGTGGATTAATTTTAGCAGTTGTGGACCAAAAGAGGAGATAGAGGGACAATCACAGAGTAGAAAATCACATTTTAAAGGGTCTTTTTTATGCTATATTTTAAGCCGTTGGCTCTACAAGCAGCTAAAGTAAAATAGTGATTATATCATGAGAAACAAAGCAGTATTAACAACTTTCTACAATATTTCAGCATGACTACTGTGGGGACTGCTACTAACTCAGCTTCAGAAACAAATGGGTGATGTCACCAATGCTACATTTATGCTCAGAATGTAGGTTTTCCTCTTCTGAACAACATCCAAACATAACTGCTAACTGTAAATGTCACCAACCATCATGCATCCAGATTTTGATAGAGACCAGACAGTTTACAATAACACAGTGAAATATCTTCATGCGTGGTGACTGAACAAAAGAAAGTCGGCTCAATCCACCCACTTCGTGCGATCTTTGTCATGCACTTTAGACTGTACATTTGATCATTTTAAAGACTTTCACTTGTTGGCCATTTGGACTTTCCTTTCTGATGTTTAGACTGGAAGTGGCTCATGAGCCGATTAAGACTCACTGTGGAGACAACAGGCGCAGCAGAATAGGATAATAGCTGCTGACATTAGTTAGCAGAGGATCATGAATATGGTGTGTGTGTGTGTGTGTGTGTGTGTGTGTGTGTGTGTGTGTGTGTGTGTGTGTGTGTGTGTGTGTGTGTGTGTGTGTGTGTGTGTGTGTGTGTGTGTGTGTGTGTGTGAATGATGAAGGAGGTGATGGATAGGGGTGTGGATGATAAAGCTGTTTGTGTCCTCTTTGCTGTGCCCTTGTTTTAATGCCTGTCTGTCTCTCACTGTCTGTCTTTTGTGTTTGTTTGTTTGTGTGTGTCTCTCTGTGTCAGTGTGCTTTTGTGTGTGTTCGTATGTCTGTGCACTTGCTCTTTCAATTGTCCTTGAAATATGAAGCAGCTTTTACTCAAATGTCAGAAACTCCTCACGGAGCAGAGATGTGGAAATGAGTTCAGAACAGAATGAAGTAACACTGGAGAGGACTAATGTAACAAGTTCTGATTCCTTCATCATCAGAAAATAAGGACAACAAATTAGTGCTCCCTGTTATCTAGACAGAAATGTGGTCTCAGATGTGACTGAACAACGAGATTTAAAGCTGAAGTCCTGATGCTTGTGCTTTAAGTTGTGGATCACCCAATAACACTGTATTCCTGGATGTTACTGTTTCTTAAATGTCCATCATCAGAGGAAAATGTAGCCTTATGATACACTACCATGAAACACAACACAATATAATATGATACAGTTCAATATGATATAGAATAGTATGTCTCCAATTCTATTCATAAATTTCATGGATAGAATTTCTAGGAGTTCTGAGGATCCGGTTTGGTGGTCTCAGGATTGGGTCCCCGCTTTCTGCAGATGATGTGATCCTGTTGGCTTCACCGTGGACGTGACCTGTAGCTCTCACTGGATCGGTTCACAACCAAGCTGAGATGAGAATCAGTGTTCATAGTTCTCAGCTGGAAGCAAGCAAAAAATTAAAAAAAAAGCTGCAAAATGGTGTCTGTTAAAGGACTATTTCCTCACCTGTTGATGCTTTCACTCCTACTCTATCTCTGTCTAGAACACTACACTATAATTAAAAAGATGATCCCACAATCCAGTGGTTTGCCTGAGCAGGGTTTCTGTTCTGTACATGACAGTTTATTATTTTTTATTTATAAATAAAATCCTGCTCTGTTTCCTTCTTGTTTCGTCTTGTTGCTTTGGCTCTGTTTATTCTATTCTTCTCAGTGGTCTTCTGTCTATTTTAAGGATACCCTCAAAAATAAAATGGAATATCTGAAAGAGTTGTTTCGAATATAAAATGTGAATATAATGTAAGTGTAATCAACCACAGCAGACCCAGAGGGAGTCAAAGCACAAAATAATAATGTCATTATTGTGAGCAGTACGTCTGCAAGACTTTGTAATACTCCAATTAAACATTAGTCAGTCGTGTGAAGTCTACACTCGTCCAATCACTAGTGTCTGGTCTCTCCTTAATTGGTTAAAAACATGAAAGCTACAGCGACTACATATGAGTTTAATCTGATTGTTGTAGTACAGCAGATACTGGGAGATATCAGAGGATACAGACAATGCGGCTGCCCAGGACTAGGATGGTGGTGATACCAATCGCAAGACTTTGTTCTGTGTAGGTTGGACTCTTGGTTACATTTCTGAGGCATAGGCTATGGTGTAGGTCCAATGTAGAGGCATAAACCAGGTTCAAGTAACAAAAAACTGCAGAAATACAAAATAAAACAAGAGTGAATAATGACACACTTAAAGGGGTTCCTACGCAAGAATGGAAACGTTTGGAAATGTATGAAAGTAGTTTGATCAATTTCCAGGTCTTAAAAAAGTATGGTAAATGAGAAATAAAGTCTGGAAAAATATCTATGTTTCAAGACTATTACCACAATTTCAAAACACTGTTTTCTACAATAGAAAATTAGGTATTTCCAAAAGTAATTCTAAAAAGTAGGGTATGGAAAAGTATGGAAATTTCAACTGTGTAGGAACCCTGGAAAATGTTGTCCTTTAGTTGTGATTCACTTATCTGCTGTTTGAGTATTTTCCCTCCAATGACTGGCTTTCAAGTTTAAAGAGGGCTGTCAAAAAAACATCAATCCGTATTTTAAACATGGCAGGGTGGAGGAAACTTCAAACTTTCAAACTTGGTAATTCTTTAAAAAAAGTTTCATACTGGATTGAGATCACAGGTCACTTTTGGATTTCAGGAAAACACTGAGCAATACATTTAGTAACAAAAAAAAAAACAAAAAAAAAAAACAGTTCTTTTCCATGACTCATCAACAACCAACACGATACAGGAAGAGAAATCTAAACAGAATATCTGAAAATATCAAATATTTAAGATCTGTCACACCAAGCCGTAAATGTGGACTACTCCACTCAGTTGTCTGCCAGCGTCTATTTATATACAATCACCAGGAAGTGTGTGTGTGTGTGTGTGTGTGTGTGTGTGTGTGTGTGTGTGTGTGTGTGACAGCACAGTAACTACAGCAGACTCTAAACAGCAGCAGTAACTCAAGCTTCAAACAGCTCTGCAGCAGCGTGTGAGGGAAGCTGCAGACAGAGGCTACAGTAGGTTTGTTTTGTGGGCTGTTCAGGATGATACAGCCTGTCCCAGAACATGACAACAGGAACTCACATGGAGTTACCTGCTACTTCAGCAAATAAACAAGCAGGGCAAAGAAAAAGTTAGACTCTTATTTGTGTATTATTTCTGCTTTTTCTCTCTTGTTTCTCCACCATCATGGTGGAGTTGTATTCCATAGCCTCATGATTCATCCTCAGCAGAATAGTTTCAGAATAACCAACTGCTATAAAAAAGTAACCCTGAAAAAGTCCACTCTGTTGAGAAATGCTCTTATTCATACATTTAAAGTTATGTTGGTTCTCAGAGGCAACACAGTGTTTGCATTGTATTAATTTTAGACACCGTAAACAACAAAAGTTTTTTTTTTTTTTTTTTTTCTTCGGTAGAGTTTTTCAAACTACATGTTGTATTTCAAAAAAAACTGTCAGTGGGTTCATTGGGCTTATAGAGCACCTTTTAAGCACTAAAAACTGCCTCTTCAGTTAGAAAACAGACTTAAAAAAATACAGGTACAAGATTTCACAGTTTGACAGCAGAGGCAGTGAGAGTCAGGAGTTAAGGAGTTTCTGAGTTATGATTTAAATGTACAGAGGGCGTCTCTAGTGATAGGAAGCTTGGCTCTTTTCAGAAAGCTGGCTCTTTTGACTGCTGAACAGCTCTTATTTCAGGATCCTCTGTCGTCCTATATTCAGCACTTTTATCAAAAGCCTTGTTATTGCCTAATGTTGTGCATTTATTCTGTAATACAACCATTCTTAGTTTTGGTTCATGTTTCAATAAAACTTTTTTTAAAGCACAAATCAACAAAAACAATGTAAATAAATCTGCAGAACAGAAACAGACAAAACTCAAGCAAAGGTTATTAAAGTTCTCAGTGGAGGTTGGCATGCAGAAATAGCTTAGATGGGCTGATCCAATTTCTTCTCTCCATGAGTGTCTGCCCCCCTCTCTGTTTTTATATAATGGTATGATCCTATAATCTCACATGTAATTGGCTGCATGGCTGCAGCCAATTATGTGTTCTAGCTCTCTTCTTCTAGCTCTCACTCACTTTACGAGAAAGCATGGCTCTCAGAGCTGCATCTTTTGAGCTTGACACAACACAACTGAAGACCAGATGATCGGGAGAGGGGCTTCCAGAACTTGTGTGCAGTGTTGATTGTGCCAGCTCTCCTGGATTTTAGTTTGGTTTCTATGAGCAGGTCTCCTTCCACTGAGGCTGCCATCTTGCACCATCATTACAGAAGCACAGAATGGACAAACTAGCAGCACAGGTTGATGTCAAAAGGTTGACATCTGAGGCTCTAAGGTGGCAAGTAGGAGAGTGGCGTAGAAAGAGGTCTGTCAGGCATGAGGGGGCGGGGCTGCTGAGGGCTTTGTAGTTGATGAGGATCTTGAAGTTGGAGTGAGTGAAAGTGTTAAAGGATGGGTGTGATGTTGTCTTTGCATTGGGACTGGCAGTTGAGTTCTTTTGGAAGCTGTAAGGATGCTGTTGCAGCCTGGAGGTCACGATGGTGTGGATGAGTGTTTCTGCAGCGGGAGAGGAGAGGGTGGGATGGGTTGTAATTGGTAGTTTACAACAGTTTATATAATAGTGCTCAGTGTTACTAGGCAACAACATGTATTTTTCCTTCTTGGATCGATCAGTTTGAGTGCAGAACTATCTCCAAATCAATTCTACTCTTGACTTCAAATTTACACTTCACTTTCTCAGAGGTTCAACAATTATTTTACAACCACTGCTAAGGGCTTGTCAAAGTCCTGTGATTTCCTGCTCTAAAATTCAACTTGGTGAAGTCTGTATGTTAGTCAGGATGTGAATCACTGCTCTTTGTAAGTGCAGTAGGGCGGCCCAGCTGATGTAAGCTGCACACATTAGCTCATATGACATTTAAGGGGCCAATTTAAAATGCTCTGGACCAACAGGGACAGTGTGGGCAGAGAGTCTGTGAGTAATGCTTCCCTTAATTCTATCAAGGTGACTTTAAACAAGCCCCTGAAGCCCCCAGCTGCTCTGCTAAGGCCGCTCAGCAGTCAACTGTCAAGAAAAAATAAAGGAAAATAATGTGTGACTGGTAGAAACACACAAATAAACATGTGCAACTGAAAAGCTGTTTCACAAAGGTCAACATTGACAACTTCCAACACTGCAGGGCCCTAAAAATTAGGTGACGGTGTAGGTACCAGATGTTTCCGGGCTGCCAGATCTGCTCATGGCACGGCCCCTTTTGATGATGTCACGCTACATGATTGGCTGGAAGTTGGTTCGGATGATGTAGAAGATTGTGGTTGGTCCTGGTAAATTACGAATCAGATTAGGTTTCAATGGGATTGTAGTTCTTCGGCGAAAACATCCACAAATTTTACCAAGCTATCTATCGCTACTTATCAAAGGGGACTTATGACTTACTACTACCTCTTTAAGGTTGCCAAATTAAAATGTGGAATAAAAACAAAACTGTCTATTGATAAACGGAGATCCTGCATACATTTTTTTTCTTTTTCCATTAGAAAAAGTAACATATACAATTGAGGCCATCTAAAAATTACAGTACAGTCAGTTGTAATTCTCTGTATTGTATGGAGAGAAAGTTTTGAGGTTAATTGGATGAACAAACAAACAAAAAAAAACCCTGAGGGCCTATTAACCAGACACATTTGACTTTTTAAATGGAACGTAACGTAGTTTGTCGTGTGACATCTTCAACAGGCCCTGGGCCCCAAGCTGATCTGGCAGCCGAGACACATTTGGTACCTACACCGGAACTTAAGATGTGCATTTGTTGTAACTTTGTAAAC